CTCTACTTTTTCATTTTCATTTTTTCCATTCAGGTTTCTGATCCATTTGGAATTTATCCTTGTGAACAATGAGAAAAAGATCAATTTTATCATTTTCCATATGGTTATCTAGATATGCCAATGCCACATATTAAAAGGTCTGTTTTTCGGGCCAGACCCATGGCTCACTTGGGAGGTAGTGCCGAGGCCACGGGTTTGGATCCTATACAGGGGTGGCCGGTGCGCTCGCTGGCTGAGCGTGGTATGGACAACACCATGCCGAGGGTCGCGATCCCCTTACTGGTCAAAAAAAAAAAAAAGTCTGTTTTTCTTCAGCTGACTTTTATTGTAACCCAGATGTCCACTGCAGTGGGGTCTGTTTCTGGATTTCCATCCCATCCCGTGGTTAGTCTGTGTCCTTGGGCTGGTACCCTACTGAGTAATGACAGGGCCTACCCTGCCCTCTCACAGCGCCCTCCATTGCTCTTCTCCTTAGGCTTTCCCTGCTTCATGCTTGATTGTTCTTCTGAATTGACTTTATATTCAACTCGAAGACATCTCTTTAAAGATCTACAAATACTTTTTTTTCTTTCTGCAGTGTAAATGTCCTGTTTCCTCAACTTTTGGAAAGTGATTTCCAGACCATTCATTCTCCCTGTCCTTTTCCATGAGTCAAGTAAACTTAAAATGTGGGAGACAGAACTGGACCCACTGGCATAGGGGTGATGATGGCATGACTGCGCAGGATAAGGCTTTTTAAAGGGGTGTCAGCAGAATGGGAGACCACGTGAGCAGCTGGAGCCTGGGCTGGGAGGGGTAAGCAGAGGACGGAGGGCACGGGGCCGCTCCTTTCCTGTCCAGACGGGAGGGCAGCGGGGGGTCTCTGCACTTTGTGACATAGGGGGCCAGCTCTGGGCAGCTGGAAAGGCCTACCTTCCTCCTGACCCCGGCGCTGGCCCATGGTCCTCTCCCAGTAGCCCACTGGCCACCTCACTCCGGCTCCATGCGTCACCCATTCTCTCAGCTCCTACGGCAGGGGTGCCCCGTTCGTCGCCTCCCCCACTTGGATGCTTCCCCTCGGCTGCCGCGCTCACCCCCGCAACTAGGCGGTTGGTTCCTTCCGCGCAGGCCCCGCCCTCGCGGCGCCCTCTGAGGTGTTCAGTGTTCACTATCGTCACCGTGGTAACTGTTCTCAGTGGTCAGTTGCTGAAGAGCTGGCCATGGGGCAGACGTTCAGTCTCCTCTGTGAGCCGGTCTTCATTAGAGGAGATGAGTCGTGTGCTGTTCCACAGGAAAGCGTCTCCCCCGTTGCCTGTCCATACGCGATGGAGGCAGTCCCTGCCATTGTGCCTCCTGTCGCCACGTCGGACAGGGCGCTTTGGGGACCCCTGTCGGTGCTGTACACAGCCCTCACAGCCAAGCTGCTGGAGGTGACGATCCCTGTTCCCATGGAGGGACCCCAGTTCGGGCAGGCGGGTGGACGAGTTCTGAGCGGAGTGGGTGCCCTGACTGACCTGGCCAAGGAAATGGAGCGTGTCAAGCCCGAGGCAGGCAGGATGTTGCTGTGCTGTTTAGGGAGGCTAGTGGGATTGTATTTGAAGTTTCATCACTTGATCATCTCTTACTGAACACTTAGAAGTGACAGGCACTGTGTTGTGTTTAAAGACACTATCCAAACACTTAGAGCCAATGGGTCTTTTCCCAGTANATGGGAGGCCGCGTGAGCAGCTGGAGCCTGGGCTGGGAGGGGTAAGCAGAGGACGGAGGGCGCAGGGCCACTCCTTTCCTGTCCGGATGGGAGGGCAGCCGGGGGTCTCGGCACTTTGTGACATACGGAGCCAGCTCTCAGCTGCTGGAAAGGCCTACCTTCCTCCTGACCCCGGCCCCGGCCCATGGTCTTCTCCCAGTAGCCCACTGGCCACCTCACTCCGGCCCCTTGCGTCGCCCATTCTCTCAGCTCCTATGGCGGGTGAGTCCCATTTGTCGTCTCCCCCACTTGGATGCTTCCACTTGGCTGCCGCGGTTGGTTCCTTCTGCGCAGGCCCCGCCCTCGCGGTTCCCTCTGAGGTGTTCAGTGTTCACTATCGTCCCCATGGTAACAGTGTTCTCAGTGGTCAGTTGCTGAAGAGCTGGCCATGGGGCAGACTGAGTTCAGTCTCCTCTGTGAGCCGGTCTTTATTAGAGGAGACAAGTTGTGTGCTGTTCCACAGGAAAGCGTTTCCCCCGCTGTCTGTCCATACGCGATGGAGGCAGTCCCTGCCATTGTGCCTCCTGTCGCCACGTCGGACAGGGTGCTTTGGGGACCTCTGTCGGTGCTGTACACAGCCCTCACAGCCAAGCTGCTGGAGGTGATGATCCCTGTTCCCGTGGAGGGACCCCAGTTCTGGCAGGCGGGTGGACGAGTTCTGAGCAGAGTGGGTGCCCTGACCGACCTGGCCAAGGAAATGGAGCGTGTCAAGCCCGAGGCAGGCAGGACGTTGCTGTGCTGTTTAGGGAGGCTAGTGGGATTGTATTTGAAGTTTCATCACTTGATCATTTCTTACTGAACCGTTAGAAGTGACAGGCACTGTGTTGTGTTTAAAGCCATTATCCAAACACTTAGAGCCAACGGACTTTTCCCAGTAACCCCTGGCACTGTCGGGGGATGGGGTCAGTATGGTAGTTAACTCGTGTACTTGTAGAGGGCAGCAAAAACAGTGTGGAGCAGGCAGGTGTTTAATGGACTATCTCCGAGGAAACGTTTAAAATTAAGGGGCCGAGTTTTATAAAAGACAGTTAAATTCAGGATTTATCTAGACCAGTTATCAGGAGCTTTCTGACTTAGCATGTGTCCTTGTTTATGTAAGAGTCGAATAAAATTAAAGTTTAAATTTTGAGAGGGATAACACATCCATTACCATCATATTGGTTTTATTTGGAGCCATGAAAGTTGATTATTTATACTATATTTACATTTTTGGTCTTACATGGGGTTTTTTGTTTTGTTTTGTTTTTTTAAGTAATAAAAACCACTTAACCAAGAGAAAAGTATGATCCAGAGGGA